TCTGCCTATCCCAGGTCCTTGGGAAGGACTTGATAAGTGGATAAAAATGCCAAATCCAGTCTAAACATCTGGCTGACTGTATGACCAATGATAATGTCACTTAAAGTCGAACTTGAATCCAAGGAGACATTATCTTATAACTAAGAACGTAAAGATAGGTAAAAGTATGAGCTAGCCCAGCTTCATTCAGGGGAGTGTTGAATGTCCTTTGGATCCAAGAGATCTAGTTAACAGTGACAGATTTCACTGCCAGAGGATGCAGTGATGACCATCAACTTAGATGACTCTAAAACAGGATTAGACAGATTCATTGGGGGTCAGGTAAGCAATTGTTGCTATGCATTATACCAATACATGAGCTCCTATATCTCAGTTATTGGAAAGAAATAGACAATCAATTTTAATCATAGATTTGCCATGCGTGGTTAGCTAAAATAGTGAAGGCATTGGTCCATGTCAGTCTCCCCCGATCTGGTGTCATTCATGTTACTGGGACTACAATTTGTAGGATGCCTGTGGGATACAGCCAAAGTAGCCTAGCAGAAAAACCAAACTGGGTTGAGAGAGGCTTTCAGTTTGATTGTGCCCAGTTCTTCTAGGACAATTTGGGTCCCTTCCAGGTGTCTGGATTTCAGCCCTGAGAATTCTACAACCAATGTAGGCTATTGCTGAGAATATATATATATATATTTTAGATTTTTTATCCCACCTTTATTATTTTTATAAATAACTCAAGGTGGTGAACATAATGAATACTCCTTCCTTCTCCTATCTTCCCCACAACAACAACCCTGTGAGGTGAGTTGGGCTGAGGGAGAAGGACTGGCCCAGAGTCACCCAGCCGGCTTTCATGCCTAAGGTGAGACTAGAACTCAGTTTCCGGCTTTCTAGTCTGGTGCCTTCACCACCACATCAAACTGGCTTTGGAGAAAGTCCACATGTCTGGAAGAACTTGCCCAGTTTGGAGAAGGCTGTTCTGAGAGGAGATGTGCCATATTGGATCAGACCAAAACCCCATCAAGACCAATCTATACAAACCATTAACTTAGAGCAATTAGACTGTGGCTATCTGTTCAGCTGCTGTCATTCCAACCATTCATGGATAGTGTGCAGATGTATATAAGCAAAGTTTGTACAAAGGCTGTTGAGACTCCTCTAACTGGTGGATAAATCTGTGTATAAATCAAGGGAAAACTGTAGAACTCTCTTTAAGACTAGACAGAACAACTAATCAGTGGGATAGTAGCAAGTGTGCAACAGATTGTGATTCCGTGGAATGGGAATATTTCATCCTTTAATTGGAGACTGCATTTGGGGGTCAGCTCAAGGTAATATTCTTCTGTCCTAACTCTTCCCGCTTAGCTCTCCAAAGTGGCTCATAGCGAAACAGCGGCATTGTTAATTATTAGATTCATTCTGTGCTTTGATTTGCTTCACCAAGTTTAGTTAAAATCAGCTCCAAGTAGTTGGGTCACATAGCCCACTAAAAACGCAAACCTCATTGTGAATCTACCATGATACGTAAACTCAGAAATGTAATTCCACCTGCAGGTTTTCCTGAAAAGAGCCCTCGGCAATGGGAGCAGAAGAATTCTCACGAACTATTTGCTAAGGAAGAGTTACTTTTCTGGCATCTTTGACAACCAGTAGATATACTCATGAGGTCACTGAGTTGTTTCACATTTCTTACAATTTGTTTTGACCAAGTTTATTAGACTCACTTCCAGTTATAAATGTCAGACAAACAAAAAGTACATGCAGGACAATAAAAGAGAAGGCATTGGCTTCTACTAATTCACAATGAACTTTATTAGAAAGAACACGTTAATAAGTGCTGAAAGAGGATTTCTACTGCCAGTGCTTAAGTATTATGTTGTTTGTGGCTAGAGAGTGCTTGCAATCCATTTGTGCTTATTTCTTTGCAAGAAACTCAGACTGTACAGTAGTCCCTAGGTTTATCTGAAATCATATTTACTTCTGAGTAAACAGTACACAGAGGATTGCTCTGTGAAATGAGCCTCAACCACTGTAATAGTTGCATTGGTGATTTCTTAGAAAAATAGTTTAAGAAAGATTGTGTGTGCTTGCGTGTGCATGCCACACACATATCCTGCCTGCTTGATCTGATTAATGATGTATGCGTAAGATTTTGAAACGTGCATAGGAGATGAATACTTCATTTTCCTTGAAAACCTTTATTACAAAATGGAATCACTAATGCATAGCATTTCTATCTTCCTATTTCTCTGGAACTTAAGGCAACCTTCCCTAATTTTATTCTCACAAGAAGAAACATCTGGCTGAAAGTTAGTGAAGAAGTTCCATGATGGAAGCAGAGACTTTAATCTGGGTTTCCCCAGTTGTACTCCAACATCTTAACCTCTGTGCTACTCTGACTCTCCATAGAAGGTAGATTAATGGCTGGATTCATGCATCATGTTAAGCCAGGGTTCCTCAACCTTGGCGACTTGAAGATGTGTGGACTTCAACTCCCAGAATTGAAGTCCACACATCTTCAAGTCGCCAAGATTGAGGAACCCTGTGTTAAGCCATCATGTGGTTTCTCTTTGACATAATGTGATTTGTAATAATTATGATTTGTAAACCATTATTTATAAAATTGTGGCTTGTTCAAAGCATGATTAAAACAACAGTGGCTTAGCAGAGTGTGTGAACTCGCCACTAATATATATCAGGCAGTTTGTAATTTCCAGAGAATGTTTTAATGGGAGTAGGTTTAATCATTGTCTAAAGGCAAACATAACTACAGTAACTGGCAAAACGTATTCCTGAACTTCATCTCTGTACTTCCTCTACCACTAGAAGAGCTGCCCAAAGTAGCTGTTTAAAAAGGCAAGGGCTTCTACTAACAAAGAAAGAGTGACCAACCTACCTTTAGAAATAACCTCAAAGGCACGAAGGCTGGCTGCTTATATCTCGTTGTTTTTTCCCTTTCTCAAATGCAGTTGTTCCAAAAACTCATGGCTGAACTGGGAGTAAGTCAAGTTTGGGCTATAGTCTTCAACTGCTTCCTAGTCATGGCCTTGTGATCTCAAGCATAAGCATTGGTTGGCAGCCGTGAGGATGTTACATGCAATATTTGCATGAGGACATCCAGATGTGCGATGTCACTTGCCTCTCTTCCACCTACCCCATGGACACCTAACTGTATACATTGACATGAGTGTTCCTTGCAATCCTCCGAGTCTGAGCTGCTTAGATGCTGCTCAGAGGTTGAGCAGGCAAATTTCCTTTCTGTGCCTCTTCTGCCTCTAGTTTGTGTTCTGTCCCTAATGGAACAACCTACAGTCCATTCAGGACACAGATTAATGCAGCTGGGAAAAGCCAGAGCAGGAATAGAGACACAGACATGGGTGGGGAGGGAGATCCCAAATCCCAGCTATTCCAGCGTTGTCATTACTCTGTCACTTCTCTGCTTGGTAGCCCTTGATTTTCCATAAATGGTAATTAAAAAGGCATCTGAACACCAAAATGTGCAATTGTTCCTGTTAGGCTGTTCCTTTGTTACGTACCTAGGTATGTTCTCTGTTTTCTGACCTGCTAGATGGGGATAAATAGGGGTGGGGGTGGATAGCTAGAGGTTCATTTTGTGGTTGGAACCCTGCTTGAGCATGTGGGGTGAACCCAACTATCATGTGAAGCCATTACACAATTCATTTGGATTAAATAGCCTACTACGTGAATAGGAGTCATGTTTTGTTAACCCAGGTTTATCATGCTGTCATCACCCAGCTGGGGTGGTTTACTGGGGAAGATGGCTGTGGCCCATCATTGTATCTCCCTGGTGTACATAGCAATTGGTCACTCCACTACAACCGAATAGGAAGTGCAGATAGAAATAATATTGGCCATCTGGGCAGCAACGGTCTCAACCATTAATGGTTTTGCCATTCCATATGCTATGGGGACAGATTATATTTAGGCACGGTGTTTTTGCTTTGGAATGCCTCGGCTTCTTTCTTAACTGTCTGAAACACTTCTCACTCGGCTGTGATTTTTAAAAAAATCTTAACAGGATTTGTAGATGTGCAGTTTGTCTCCATGCTTATGTTTTTTCAAAATGTTTGGCGATAGGCAAAAGCAACTTGCTTTGGAAATCAGACTTCGATTTGCAATGGCTTCTAACAACAACATTAGGTGTTCTTTTTTTAAATGTTTACGTTGGGGGGGGTCCCACTCTATTTGGGAAAAAAATTAACATAGGTTGTTTGATTTGGAAAGCTTAACGCTGATTGTTTGCGAAGTTAAGTGAGCTACAGGTAGTCCTTTGTTGAGCAGGGCAAAGCAGTTTGCTAAACTGGTGATCGGTATTAGGAGAAACAAACACAGACAGTCCGTAGTTTACAAATAACAGTAGAGCAACTTACATCAGGCAAAGAACTCAATAGCAGTTACAATTCAGCAGCAACGTAGTCAGAGCGGAGAGAGAGAGAGCAAAAACTTGCTAGGCTCTCTTTTATACTACTTATAGCCAATCAGTTTGGGTTAGCTATGCCTAAGCTTTTTATTGCTCACACCTGTGAGTGAGTGAGCCAATTTGACTGTTTTAGCATCAAAATTTATTTCCCTGACACCCCTGAACAGTGTGTAAACCAAGTTGCATTACGAGGTTA